TTAAATTCATTTGGATTAATTTATATTTACTAAATTTTGTAGATAGTATAGATGACAAAATCATTGTGATATCATTGCTACCTGATAGGGTTATTCAAAATTAATCAGTATTTTTTTTATCAATTAGGTTTTTGGTAATATTAACATATATACTACAATAGTTCAATGATTATTTGTAAGATTTTAAAGTAAACACTCCAAATATAAACATATAAATATATACATATAAATGAATAAAGACACTTTTCTTTATATGATTTAAAAATGATTCAACAAGTCTAAAAAAAAAAATATTTATGAATGAATAGAAATTTGTACTTATAAAATCTTGAAGAATCCCCTTCTTAGACATTAAACGGTCCATAGCTAAGTTATTGGCATGTAGAATAATATTAAGTCCTCTACAAACGACTATCATTATGCCCCTCTAGGGTCAAAGTTGCCCCTTCCTGTGGTTTGTTTAGTTTACTAAAAACTTGTATATGAAAAAGATAGATATACATTTTGATAAGCGTTTAACTTGCTGAATTTCTTATAGGAAATTGTCTGCTTTTTATTTTCGGAACTGTTCATTATCAATTTTAAAGATATCAAGATGAAAATTCAAAAGTGATAGGCCATGGATATGCAAGCTGGCCTGGATGTTTACTGCTGGCAAAATAATGCTTATTACTTTCAACAGTATGGCTCAGATCTTAGATACTTGTCATTATATTGTGTAGCATTTCCCAGAATGCTCAGTTGGTACATTGCAAAGACAGAAAGCCTTCTTCTGCATCCGAGATGAAGGATCTCTTTGGTAATTTTCTCCCTTTTTTGGGTTATGTGCTTCAGCTTATATCTAATTTCTTTCTTGTAAAAGAAATTCAGGGCGTATAATGATATGTCGGCTTTGTGTCATTGTCATCTAGAGTCATTTAATAGTTTTTTATATGAGAAAGGTAGCTAGACAGTGTCTCACTTTTTTTGAAAAAGATGCATTGTGGGGCACCTGTTTTTTTTACACAGCCAATTATAATGCTAAGTGCTAACAATATTTGGATGTTTCTATGAAATATAGAATGTTTAAATATAATGCGTCTATGATATTAGTACAATTATGAAACAGATGACAACACGCCTGAAAGTGACATGGAACCACAGTTTAAGAGATCCCGTACAAAAATAAATGATCCAAAGAAAAAAGTTTGGAAACACGGGAAATTTATAGTTTACAAAAGTTCCAGTTCAAGTTAGAATTAGACCTAATTAGATTTTTATTTGATTGTTTTTGCAACAAATACCAAAATGTTTGTTGTGTGACCTGATTAAAGTCATAAATGTTAAAAATTGTCTATACATTTTTGTTTTTATGTTTGTAGAATTTAACCTCTATTCATCCTTTGTATTTGAATGAATAATTTTTTTTGTTGTTCTTATCTAAACATAGAATAAAGAAATACATATATTGATTTTGTTAAATGGAACTTCTGAGAGTAACTTTTGGTATTCAGATATGGCCAATAATGTTGTATTTAAGTTGTAATTTCTTTGTCTATCAATGCTTGCTTTCCATGTATATGGCCAGCCATTTTCCATTGACTGTGACCAGGTTATATGATATTGGCTTATTTTAGTATCTTTTTTGCGTATATCTTAGTTTAAAACGGACATTTTAAAAAGTTGTCATGTAAATAACAACAAGACCATATTTTTGCGAAACTAGGGGTAGATATTTATGTAGGTACGCAGAACTGGGGCGTTGCTGCAAGAGATGGCAATATTGGACTTACATGGTGAATATGTTTTCTTTTTTCTCATGCACATATATACTTAATTATAATTTATAACTTATGCATTATATTAAACTATATAGGGAGTGATCTAGTTTGCTGAATGGAATACCCTTTATTTTATTCCCACAATATCTTGATTCAAAGTTCACAATTTTTTGGACATTTAAATTTCATTTTTCGCGAGGAATCTACCTGTCATCTAATATGTCATCTGTCAGGTTATAGTTAAATTTACTACATCTGTATATACATATACATAGATGATATAAAGTTGATAATTTATTCATGTATATAGGCACTGGGGCTATTACCAACACGTCAGTAACAGATTTAGAAGGTGATATATCAAGATTTCAACGGATGTCGTCTGTAGATTCTTTCAATCAACAATCTTATTCTAATGAAATGTTAACTGGTCTTAAATACTTTGAGAGGGAGATAATGGATACTCATTAATTAATGTACACATAGCTATAGTGTAAAGTGATGGCCTGTTATTGTAAGTTAAAGAATGATGGGTTTTAGACTAGGGGGCATAAGCATTCATGTCACGTTCAAACTAAAATTATCATGTTTTAATTAATCGATATATAAAAGTGTTAAGAACTGCGAATGTTTTCGTAACATCACTGTCATCCCGTCATGTTATATTACGCTTCGAAACATTTGTGGGGCTACATAGGTGCACATTTGTTTTGTAAAACTGGAAAGTCACGATATGATAGCTACCACCTTTCAAAGACTATAGGCTACTAACAGTTAAATGTAATTTAAATTTTGTAATTTTCATAATTTTAAATGGATTCTGTTTTACATGGGAGTTGCTGAGAATTTTAAAGTAATGTTATATTATACATGCATGAATATTGATATTTGATATAAATGTTACTATTTCTATTCATTCTCAGAATTTATTTGACTGGGGACAGGAAGAAAAAGATGCCCTTGCTAAATGTTTGTGTACACAGTTCAAGGACATTCTCTCAGATGAACCAAGATTGCTCAAATTAAAAGCTCCAATGTATATCTTAGGTGATTTTGTATACATAAAATTGTTCAAATGTATCTTGAAATTTTATATAATTATTAAATGTTTTATTCATTTGAATGGAGATTGCAATAATTGATAAGTCTATTCGACAAGTTATCAACTGTTTCAAACTAAAACTGGGGATTTGTAATTTTATATTATAGGATATATGAGGAAAATAAACCTAGCAGAGTTTCCATTCTGTGCAATGGCCGTTCAATTTTAGTACTTTGTAATTACTTAAACTTACAGACTTAAGTAAATATTTTAAATGTATCATTGTAAAATATTAAAGCAAATAGGTGTAGCTCAATAGAGAGAGCAGTAGGCTTTCTGGTTCAATCCTGTGCCCAGGCTTTAGCCCACCCGCTAAGCTAAATAGAGAAATGGAGGGGTTGCTGGTTTAATTTTTTGAAGGGGCGAATTTTCTTTCAGATTTTCAGACTGATCTTATGTTCGTTTGTCTCCCACCAATGATTCGAAAATAATGCGAGGTTAAATTTCACTCACTTGCGCAGAACTTTGTTTGTACGTGGTAAGTTATGCATGAAAGCCTGTTAGATGGTCAGTCTACTGAGATCCAGAATGTTAAAATCAATAGAAAAACTTGAAAATAAACAAATGAAAAAAAATAATTTGTCGTATTTTCTCATGTGTATTTTCATGCTGTTTTTAAGAGATATTCATGGAAACTATAGAGATTTGATATGTTTTGAAAAAGCTTTATGGAGACAAGGACCTTTATAAGCCCCAACTTCCATTTTGTTCCTTGGAGATTATGTTGACAGAGGTGACTTTGGTATTGAGGTACATGTGTACTTGATTTTTGTTTGATGTCATATGACTTTATGTTTCTCTAAGAATAATTTACTTGTATTTTATTTGTTTAAACAAAACTTAACATTTATAGTTAAGGAAGTGTTGAAAGTATTAAGGCTGTTAAACTTAAAGATCGTTGGAAGATGTACAACTGTATTAAGATAAGAGAATTTAAATTAAAATCAACTAAATATAATTTCATAATCTTGATATCATTAAATTCACTTAGATAACCACAACTATTAACATTAATGATTTGCTGTGATTGGTAGAAATTGCTTTAAAGATTCTAGTACTATAACTAGAAACAAATAACATTATTATTGTTACATGATGGATCAACATTTATAATTTTTGCTATATTTATTTCACTGGTCATTTCATATTTGTTTGCACAGAAAGTTTAGCGCCTCAAAAATTTCACCTGTTGAGGGGTAACAATGAGTTACGGAGTGTACAAGAAATGTTCTCGTTCAAAACGTAAGATGTTTAAATACTCTTGTTATGTATAGTAACATAATTGCCTACGATTTCATCTGATTATGAGTGTCACGTGACCGATTATGAGTTTGTGCCCGGAGCCGAAAAAATCATAATTAGCCCGCTGAACATGTATCTTGAAGACCAAGGGCCTAGATCTTTTACATGAAACATCTTGTACACCTGTACCATGGTTTTTAAAGTTATTGCTATTGGGTTTAAATAAACCCTATGTGGGGAAATTTGATTTTCTTTTATGTATACGATTAAACTTTAGGTTTAACGTTTAGCTCACACTTAAACCAACTCATTAATATAGAGAACGTTGAATCAATATAGTCAGACTCTACATAATAATTTACTACAGTTGGATAAATTTATATTCAGAGCTAGCCCTCTTCTTCTGCTTTGAATTTTTGGGCTGCCCATTGACAAATTTTGGAACTTCGAAATGTATCAAATATTAAATTGAGCACTTTCAGCTTAGAGGAGGTTGTGAAATAATTAAAAGAACACAACTCAAATTTATGAAACTTATTCTCAATCTTAAAAAATCTACCCCATCTCATATGATTTATGGCGAATTAGGAATTAAACCGATACAAACAGATATTGATACAAGAATTATCTCTTTCTGGAGTAAAGTTACTGACCCAACTAGCAATAAATTGTCAAATAATTTATACCTTATAATCAATGGTATGCAGAATCAAGGGACTTTAAATTCAAAATGGCTTAATCATATAAAAAGTCTTATTTTTAAACATGGATTTGGGAATATTTGGGAAAATCAATCTGACATAAATAGAAAATGGTTTCCATTAGCATTAAAACAAAGAATACATGACCAGTACATACAAACATGGAATGATAATGTGTCAAGGTCTACAGGCAGTATCAATTATAAACTTATGAAAAGAATTTTCGAAATTAATAAATATTTTCAACTTATACCAAATTATTTTTGTAAAATATTAACATCTTTTAGAACAAGGAATCATTGACTACCTATTGAACAGGAAGGTGGAGTGGTGTTCCTTTAAATGACAGGAAATGTATTTTGTGCAATGACAATGATATTGGTGACGAATACCACTATGTTCTTAAATGTAAGGCCCTTTCTGAACAAAGAAAACAATTCATCAATTCATATTTTTATAAAAATCCAAACACAGTAAAATTTTATGAGCTTTTTAATAGTGAAAATAAAAATGAACTTATCAAACTTTGTAAGTTTATTGAAAAAGTTAACAATGCTATTAAGAATAACTCAATTTAGGATAGAAAATAGTTGGTTATCTTTATCAAACATATTACAACAGACAATCAAGACTTAATTTCAATTTTCAAATTTTGTAATGTTAAAACAAATATCAATACAGAATTTTGTTAGTTAAACAATCTAAATTCTCTATAATGAATATTGTAGTTTATTTGTTATATGTTCTGTTGTTCTATGTACATGTATGTTTCATTGTTATTGTTGAAAATACTTTTTGGAATTTATTGTTCAACTGAATAGGAAAAAGGGAGAAAAACATATCTACATTATTATTCCAATTGTTACATGCATTGATATTGAAAATATTTACAAAAGATTTGTTATGTCTGATATTATTTATTCATATAAATTATGGATTAATCTCATTATTTTGAACATATATATTATTTACTTGCTTTATAATAATAGTCTGTTCAAATTCCCCAATAGCATCATAGTTATTCTAGTAACTGTCAACAAACAAAAAAGTCATATGCCATGTTTACTTATTGAATACTTAAGTAATGTTGTTAAGTACCTCACTCTGAATTTATCACTGTGATCTAAGATTAAAACTTTATATGCTATTTTTGAATTAAGTGTATGATAATTTGAAAAAAGATTGAATAAATAATTATGGTTTGTACAAAAAAGCTGAAGTAAGAGATATGAATGACTTCTAAAGAATAGTACATGACTTTGCATGTGTTAGTGTGAGTGTGTGGGTGTGTTTGTGTATGTGAGCCCATTTGACTGTATTTGTTTGTATTGATTGTTAATTTGTTTGTTATATGTGCCACAAGAGTCTGTATATTTGTATATTGATGATTTGTTTATTTACTTGTTTCTTTATAAATGTTTTGAATAGATTTGTATAGAAGGTGCTCAAATATGCAGGTATTAGTCTTATAATATCGCATAAGTACTTTTTTCTGCGGGAACTTTATTTCTGCTATTTCTGCGGTTTATTACGACACCGCAGATTTAAAAACCGCAGAAAATTAAGCCTTTCGCTATGTATGTATGTCGGAATATGTCAACTACCTGTATTGTATAATTACATTACCATGTACCGTTATCAGCTTTTGTAGATGGGAATTTTTCTTTATGTATCCGTCATGAATAAAATATTAGAAAAAAGGTACTTTACTTGTTCTTTTTGTTTAAAAAAATATCATGTTTGTATGATTTTCGCTCACCCTAACCTTGATTTATTTTAAAATAAAACTATTATAGTTTGACGGGTGCAATAAACATACCCTTTTGTATTTGTACACTAAATTGTCTCTACGTGCGATATTACTGTTGTTTATTTTTCACACTTCATATTTATACACATGCATTACAATTAATTGTTGTCATTTCACGTTGTTTATTTTTTTCATTAACGTTTATATACCGATACATGGTGATTACGATGAACACACATTATAAGTCGTCTGCATGTTTACCGGAAGTAATGTACATGTAACATCAACAAATCTTGAAATGTTGTCTGTTTGTATCGGTTAATTTTTTAAACATATCTTAATTAAAGCGCTGAAATAAAAAACATTAATGCGAGAATGATGACACCGCAGAAATAAGATACGCAGAAATTTAAAACCCCTTATTTTAACCAAAATCGCAGAACATTAAGCCCGCAGAAATAAGTACTTATCCGGTACTTTGTGTAATAAATCAAGGCAAATTTGTTTGTATGTACATAGGTCTGTCTGTATATTATTTTCTTTGTAGTATTTTTTCTTTAACTCTTTAAGACACCATGTTTATCCCAATCATGATTCTGAGAGTATTTATAATATTCATATGATAAATTTCAAGAACTCTGAAGTTGTTTCCCCTAGTGATGTTGACGAAATAAATACATGTATATTATAACATCAGCTTAAGAAATGAAATAAAAAGAAAACAAAGTATCATAAAATCAAGATTTGACCATATGTCTATACATGTATTAATAATCAATCATGCATAATATATTAAAAGTCTTCCATGTAGCTCTCATTATTTTTTCGTTTCGCAAACAGAGCTACGTAGGACACGTTTTTAAGATATTATATACTGTATGTTAAAGGGACTCCACTGAGGCTTTTTGACATGACTGGACTGGAAATAATTTTTTGAGATTATTATTCCATTTGATGTAGATCTATACAAATAACTTATGTGCAAAATTTCGCTCTGTTTTTGCAGAATAATTATTATTATGATAGTAAAAAATGACCCAAAATTGAAAAGCGTTTAAACGCTTTTCACTCAATTCGGACTGTAAATAGCACAAACATACGATTTTCAATAAATTTCTTGTATATTTCTTAATTATATCTTATTTATATTTCTGTTTTAAGTGTTCATGTTTATCTATGTGAAAAATTAAAATTTTATGTTTTAAGGCTTATAAACCTCAGTGGAGTTTCTTTAATACCTTACAAAAATTACATAAGTAAGCACTCTTAAAGGCTTTCGCTTTTTAATTTCTTTAAGAGTCTGTCAAACAAACAATTGCTATGGCAGTAATATGCACGAATAAAACAACTTCATAGTTCACTATTTGTTATATTTGTATAATTATTTATGTTTGTAAGCAATATACACTATTCTATAACTAAAACACTGTCAATAACATTGAATAATTGATCGATGAAATGAGTCGGTATCTCATGTAATAATTTAACTTCTTCGTTTAAAAATACATGCATATGTTATATTCTCAAGAACTTTGGCTAACCTAAAATGACGCAGGGAAATATGAAAACAAAGATTTACTCACAAAGTAAGGTCAGCCTAGACATCCCTCTCCAATTACGATAATCCACTATTATTCGAATGAAAAACAACGCACAAAATACATTACAAATAAACAAGTCTGAATATCTACTTGAAATTATAACATTAAATTGAATATTCCATTCAAAAATTTATGTCATTTGAACGACACGTATCTTTTATTTCTTCTTTTGTTCTCAAAATTTCTTATTTAACTTTTCGATTCACACCTGAAATAAACACGATGTGTCAATCCGTACGAAAACTCATGTACTTGGGGCATTGATAAAATAAACCAATCAGAGAGAGTACCGACACGAAATTCCCTTAACCACGTAATCTATTTTTAGGATACCAAATGCCCCTTTGAAAAGTTATTGAGTGCAGTTCCAACGGTTTACGCAATTATACTACTTTTTTTTCTTTTCGATCAAAAGGTACTTAACATCTATTTATTATTTATTTATTATTATTTTGTTAAATAAACGAAAACTGAAAACTATATTTTTTAAATATGATATATCAGCTTACAAAATAAATCTATATTGTTGTCCTCTATGTTATATATCTATTTTTCACAGTGACCTATTTCTTTTATATGTTTACATATTTGGTTTGCTCATGTTTTTGTACATTATACAAACTGAGTGTTATTGTAAATAAAATTGAAAATTGAAAATTGGTTCCACAAGATGTCCTCGTTTTATGATAAAAGCTGGGAGCCTGTTGGTATTCTCCTTCTGTAAATCAAAGGTGTCATTAATTTATGACACTTAACTTGAAATGAGTACAAGGAAACTTTTATATTTTGAAACAGAACAATGTACAGTAGTTCTTACTATTTACTTTCAAATACCTATACGGCAATTAAAATAGTAACGATTAAAGCATTTTATCACACATTTTATTGCAAACAAAGGCTGTTTGAACACACGGCAGTGTAATTAACACCTGTCACATAAGTTGATTGGAAATTGTCTTAGTAACAAGATAAGGTGTGAAAAATGTCTCGCGATCGAATATGTCAAAATTATCGAACGACTTCGACTCATTTGTGGTAAATTGCACTAGATTTACTTTATACAGACCACGAAAGAACTTCGACACATCGAAAAATTCGACACATAAAATCTCGACTCATAGATAGGTTTTTATAAGAAATATATAGTGGGGAAGTCGGGACTTTCATTTTTCTTCGACACATCGAGAAAATCGACTAATCGAATAGAGAAAATAAGAATCCCTAAATAAAGTCCAGCACGGCTGGATAAAATATATAAAATTGAAAATGTTGCAGGCTCGGTTTGATTGAGCCTGTTCATGAACGTGCTGTAAAGTGCAAACTATCGTCCACGTCCCCTAGCACCGGCTTAAGTAGAATTCAACATTTAAACATGAAGTGGTAAAATTTTGTTTACTGTATATGCAAATTTAATTCAGATATTTTGTGTACATGGTGGTATACCAATGCCGGAATTAGACGGAGGATTTATTGATGCCATAAACAAAGTGCCAAACTCATTGAAGAACCCTGAAGATGAGAGTGCTCTGGCATGGGATATAATGTGGAGTGACCCAGTCAGGTATATATACAATAAATCAAATCAATTGTAATGTGGACACTTACAATCAAATGATTAGTGTTGCTGACTTAGAAGCATGAGAGCTGTTGCATTGTTATATTATCTCTTATGAACAGACTTGATATTAAACAGAGTTTGTAATTGTCATATAATTTTGTTGTGACCATTGCCGCCGAGGGAGTCGGGTTTAACCTTTTTCCAATTTACACAGTAGCTCTCTCTTGCTGCATATGAATTAAGATCATGTCAGTGAGAGAGTGACATTAAATTCTATAAGCTACATAGCTAGCTTTTAGAGGGTAAATGTTTCTACTCAGTTTCCTGCTCATGCCTGATTTGATGCATGAGAAGAAGGGGAACTAGAGGTGTTTCTGTACCAGTTAATTTTAAAATTTGTCACTCGTACCTTGTAATATTGGTATGACCTCACATTAAACTCAATGAAATAAAGTTAAATGATTTGGGTAAAATAAGGTGATAAAAAAGTTAATTATTATGCATATTCAACAAGAATAGACTAATCTATGTTCAAAATTCTAAAATGCTGCATTTCAAAAATGTTGTTCTATTCATTTTTATAGTCTGGATGTATTAACTCCAGAGACAATTCAGGAACTAAAAGAAAAGAAAGGCTTCAGAGCAAACACTAGACGAGGGACTGCCCATTTCTTCAGCTGTGATGCTTTGTTTGGCTTCTTGGATAGAAATGGTCTGACACATGTTATTAGGGCTCATGAGGTGCAGGAAGCTGGCTTTCAGGTAAATCTCATATGTTGATTCTTATGTTTAAAAAAAATTGTGAATACTTTAAATTCACTAGCATTTAACAAAACTAATTTTCTTTGTATTTGTTTATAAAGCAGACATATTCTGATAAGCTAAGCTCATACGATTGTGATAGCCTTCTATCTTTAATCGAATGTCCCTCACTTACAAACTTACAATACTGTGCAGAGTTGCAGAGTTGTTTTGATAATAAAACAGTTATTTAATTGGTGTTTGTGGAACATTAAACTGTTGTCCATCGGTATCAGGGATGACATTTGGAACTGTTGCCAGATTTGCTTATACAAACACTTTAGAACCCAGCCAATATGCAGACTGCTGAGTTGTCGCACCTGGCTATATCCTGTTGGCTGTTCAATATTTGTTGTTTATTTTTGTTATGGAATTCCCTCACAAATAAAATTAGACTGTTCCAAATTCAAAGCAGGGTATTTCCATAGAGAAAATTTAGCAAAGTAAGGTAATCTTAAGTTTATTTTTCTAGAAGAGTAATGTAATCTTAAGTATGTTTTACTGGAATATTTGATTTAATACTTTGACCAGGTAAGGTAATCTTAAGTTTATTGTACTAGAATATTAATGTTCTGATTTAATACTTTGACCAGGTACAACAACAGGGCAAGTTACTGACTGTATTCTCCTCGTCACATTACTGTGGCGGTAGCAACGAGGCAGCATGTGTACTTGCCGATAACTACAAACTACGTATGATCAGAATAGATACGACCTGAACATGCCTCTAGTTTCCATGGTTACCAATATAATTATCATCTGGGTGGAGAAATCATGGCCAGCCGGGAGAAATTAACATTCAGCATCTAGTTTCATGTATTTTTAAACATTTACTTGATAAATGTACATGAAATTTTATATATTTTGAACAAAGCGTTGGATGTGTGTTTTCTCAATGACATTTCAAGGATCATCTGTTACTGATTGAGTTGGTTTTTGGTTGTTGTTTTGTTTTTCGCCAATTACTTTTTCTCCTATTTAGTTAGTAAATTGTAGGTACAGACAAGGCAATTTAAAAATACCTGAGTTTATAAAATTTGCATAAAAAACATGTGTTGAAATTAAGATCTGATAAATGCATAAGTGCAAGCATTAATCAGTTAATCTATACAAACAATTTAATCTGTTAAAAGTAATTGCTAGTATTTTTTATATTCTTTGTTAAGTTCTGAGTTCTGTGAAGCATTGTGCCTTTAATTTTGAGAATTTTAGCACTTAATGTCAAAACAAGATGACACAAAAAGAGAAGAGAATATTGAAATTCTGTAAAATACAAAATAGTTTTGGCCTAATATACCATTTTAAGTTAATGATTAACATTACATTTTGATCAATTAATATCCTAATTACCCCTTTAATATCAGATAAAAACTTGTTTATTTTGATATTCCATTCAAAACCCATAATAAGGCTTACAAATTTATATTCAAATCAATAACTTACTAGAGGCTTTTTATTCTTTAGGCTTACCATGGACCTTATCATATGGGATTCATAACCAAGCCATGTTTTTCTGCAGGACATCAGCACTATAAAGTCCTGAAAGCTGGCATAAAAGTGACTACAAATTGTTATTAATAATGTTATTAATGTCTTTCAGTCAGTCCAGCTTAAATAAGTATGGTTTTTGTTATAGGGTATCTAACAGAAACACGTCACAAATATTTATGACAAAAATTTCAGTTTGATATTTTTGTAAAATGTTAAGAAATTGTGGTCCTGTTGAAATTATTTTAGATTTTATTTTAGATGGATGCTTAATTGCTGTGACATATCAAGATGAAATATTCTAGCATGCCATTGTCATTATATTTGATGTTTCAACATAACTTCATTCAGGGGGCTCTTGATAATATTTTGCCATACTTACTAGTTATATAACCACGCAAAATCATACCTTTAAAATGAGCATTTAACAACTAAAATTGGTCAAAAATAAAAACTATGCTATCCAAACGGCTTTGGTGTTTTAACCATTTGTACAATTAAAAGACATTGAAAAGAGAATCCTTGTCAATTGTAATTATGATTTCTTATTTATTGGACAGATATGCCGCACAAAGTTGTGTTTTGTTCAGATTTTTATACTTGCAAAATCACATTGTATTTTTAAGCACATTTTATTGCACTGCAGTTAAATAAAAGTAATGTTATTCCTTTTATTCGTGTTGCACAATCATTGTAAACTGCAATATTTCATATAGTAAATCATTGTTTTGTTTCATATAAACTGTTGTTACTTCATATAAAGTTTATGATTTATGTATATTTCATTTAAAACCAATGTAATTTGTCACCTTAGTGCAGTAACCGGTAAACTCCCATTGGACTTTAATAGGAGTTAACCTGTTATTACATTAAGGTAACACGATAAAGTGTTTTTTTTTAACCTTTTCATATCTTCAGATGTTTGGCTTTGAATCTGCAAAATGAGTTAGTATCATATATAGCCAACAACTTTTGACTTGATTGTTATATCTACATTTTACAAGCTAAGTCAGTAAAAAGTTGGACACAATATACTTCATTTGTTTACTGAAATATAGTGGTGACCTGAAATATGATGGTGACCTTCAAATCATTAAGACATTTAAAATGTAAAAAGCTATATATTTGCTATATATGGATACTAAAATTATTGTTTATATATTTTTTCATTATCAGATTTAGAACAAGGACAAATGTGTCTAACAAACTCTTAATTTTATCTATCATATTTTTTAAGAATATTTTTAGCATTTTAATAATGTAAGTGGCTGCAATGTAAAAGTATAAAAAGGTAAATGTATTTCCATGTTTCTTTTTGATATATATAGCTTTACCGTTCATTACGAACAACGATATCAAAGTTGTTTCTACCATTTTGTAAATAAAGTCAGTATAAATGTTAGAGATTTGTGTTTAACCGCTTACTTCTGTGTTTAGTATATAACTGTAATATCATGATTAAAAATATGATGACATTTGTAAGTTACTTCACTGTCAGTATTATTTTCACATCTTTAATTAGAATGTTCAAATTTCATACATGATTATGTTTCATTCTCTCATAATCGTACATGTACCTAAATAAGCTTCCTAGATATAATAAGGTGAACGACATTTTATTTCATCGTAGAATTCTTTATTTTCTAATTGCGCTTTCATTATATTTTAACTTAATATTAGATTTCTTCATATTGTTAGGTATATAAAAAATTAATTACTGTTTGAAAATAGCACAGGAACATTCTCATCTTGGATATGTAAACAGTACAAATGCTTTAGGTATTTCATATTTTCACACTTTTAGTATACAGTTATACATAGTGCTCAAGTTGAGCTATTGTAATCATCATGTGTCTGACATTCAGCGTTTTACTTTTAACATCTACCGATAATGATAAAACTACGGAAGGATGATGGTCCCTTCAACAGTTAGCTGAACAAGATAGTCGACAAAGCAAGAAAAACCTCCTTTGATCAACATCTCTTCCTTAGCCATTTGGTAGGCTGTGGTGAAACTTTCATGCTATAACCGTTTAAAATTTCTAAACAACTATTGCTCAAATCTTTTCAGTCTGTTGAATAAGGAATATCCTTAATAATTTAGTCTTGACCAGGTTTCTCTGGTGACCACTTAAGGGTCTTCATAGCCCTCTTCTTCCTTCTCATGAATTGTAACAATATAGATACAACCTATTCTAAGTTTGCAATACTTTCAAGACTGGACTTTAAAGACAGGTTCAACTGTAGATATAGTGTCATTTCTGCTGCTTGTATTAATGTTAGATACACTTACCAGTTTAATTTAAAATACAGAAACCCATGATTTTCTAAGCTATTGTAGTTCATTGCAATATCTTTTTTTTACGTTTATCCAACTTTGTTTTTAACACATAATATATTAAAAGTTTTGCAGAATGTTAATATCAGAGATTTATAGATTTTTAAGATCAAAGACTTCATGCTGAACACATTTACTTTCTATATAGTGTGAATACTTACTTCTCACTCTTTACATATTTGTAAGCTGGCATGTTGTTTAGTGAATGAACATCCCTCATCATTCTTTTATTTTTGTTTTTCGCACAAACACAATATGTGTCATATGGCGCTGAAATACGAAAGATTTTTCCTAACCTTACAAACTTAAAGAAATACTAGGGTTCAAAATCACATCTCCTAAGAAATGCATAGACTCTAGTTATTCAAACCAATTTAGTGCTCTTGTCGCCGAGGCGCCAGATCTCCCTCTTAAGTCTATGGCACTGGACCGTCTCAACGGTAGAGTTTCATATATCTGGGGCCAGGGGATGACGGATCAAAACAACTTCCGGCTGTAGTAAAATATATTCCTTTTATTATTCACATGTAATTAATTCATATGATTGAAGTTTAAACCAAACGTACACAAAACAATCTTATTTTTTTCAAAATATATTGTTTAATTATATTGCATTTAAATAATGTAAACATACATGTACAAAATGGCCGACATCATATTGCGCAAAGAAAAATATATTCTAAGAAATGATCTTAGAACTCAAATAATATAAGTCTATTAACATTAAGATGTACGCAATTTACAAATGCAACACATGAAGAATATTACCTGTAGTAACATATATTCCTTTTATTATTCACATGTAATTAATTCAAATGATTTAAGTTAAGGTTATATAAACCAAACGTACACAATACAATCTTATTTTTTTCAAAATATATTGTTTAATTGACCCAATTGGTCAAACTTATATACGTCATAGAAAATCATTTAAATAACAAAGGAATAGAAGAGAGGAAAGGTGAAAATCACGCTGAGTAGTCGATTTACAATGTTACGGCATACTGCTGAAATTTAAAGTATTAGTATATTCGGGATATAGGGATGATATAGGTAAATTTGTACACCTGTGACATTATTTGCCCCCTCCCGATTAAATGTTGTCCCCAACATTTACTAATGATACGCAGAAAAACGAAATATTTCGGCCGAGAAAAAAACATCTTTCCGCAAGAAGGTAATCTCGACATAAGGTAATCTCGCAACACAAAGAAAGTATTCTAGTTGAAACATCAAAATAATAATAACATTTTATCGTGACAAACATGTTAATGATTCGTCGCCCGTAATATGGCACGCTACAAGTATAAATAATAATGATATGAATTGAGTGTATAATGTAGTGGTATGATAATGATATATTGTTTATATCATCTTTAATGTTTTAATATATAACTGATCAATGTAAACACATAAACGTCAATTCACTTTGTTCCGTGATATACTATCATTAATACACACTATCCAATTATCCAGTCATCACTTCTCATCCACCGAGGCTTCGTTATCTTTCGTTTTGTTTTACGAATTTGATCATTTGTTTCTGAACCAGAATCATTATTCGTATCTGATTCTTCAGACATATTTCTCTGCTTCCTTCGTTGAGGAATAACATATTTTTCAATTGTTTCTTCATCAGAATTTATAAAAGATGAATCCATTTCTTGCTCCAGAGTTGCATTCAGGTAAGATACATCTTTATTATTTGTATTTGTTTTTGGATCTTCTTGTCCAGATTTATTATTGATATTTTCACTCTTTTCAGTTTCAGTATTTTCAGCAACTTTTGTCTCATCCTTTATTATATCACTGTTAAGATCTGTTGTGCTCATAAATGGCAATAAAAGATTTCTATGTAATGTCCTTATTTTTCTAAATCTATTTCCTTCTTGTTTTACTTGGTAAACGGGTATGTCAGCATTTGGTTGACTGATTATAATGTATGGATGGTGTTCCCATTTATCAGCTAGTTTATTCTTTCCTCTGATAGACACATTTCGGACCAATACACTATCTCCAGGAACTAATTTCAGATGTCTTGTTTTAATGTCATAATACTTTTTATTGTTTTTACCAACATGCTCTGAACATTTTCTTGCGATGGTGTATGCATTCAAGAGTCAATCTCTCAGCTTATGAACATATTCCGAATGACATTGCAAATTTTCATTGTCTATTGGTAGTCCAAGAAAGGCATCAAGGATGACGGCAAAACATTAGAAAGTATGGTGAAAAGCCAGTGCTATCATGTTTAGTGCAATTAAACGCATGGACTAATGTTGAAACGTTTTCTTTCCAATTGCTTTTCTGGTTATCTTCAAGAGTACCTGGCATTTTTAAAAGTGTTGAGTTAAAACGTTCCACGGGATTGCCTTGAGGATGATATGGTGTTGTTCTTGATTTGTCAATACCGGCAATTGCACACAATTCCTTGATTATATTTGCCTCAAAAGATTGTCCCTGGTCACTATGGAGACGGGCTGGAAAACCATAGTGAACAATAACTTGGTCAAAAATAATTTTTGCTGTAGTTTTTGCTGTTTGGTTTCGTGTTGGAAATGCAAGTGAGTATCTGCTGAAATGATCGGTCATTACTAAAATATTTTCGAAGCCACCTTTTGAACGTTCCAATAAAAGATAATCAATGCATAATATGTCCATAGGAAAGGAAGATGATATGTTTACCAATTTTGCTTTGCTGTTAAAGGCAATCTCCCATCAACAAGGGGCCTTCATCATTCAGATTATTAAAGTTAACAAGGATATTAATTTACAAATAGCAAACGGCGATTACACACCACGTAAATTAAGCAAAAGGGTCAAAATATGCAAAATTATGCACAATCTGTCATTAATCCATAATAAGATGTAAAGTACTACTTGACTCTTAAATTATTTTTAATTACTTTTTTTTTAATCTTAAAAAATCTTAAATCTTTAGGGATTCTGTATTTATCTATTTTAAACACCTTTTTCAAGTTTATTTTTCTAGAAATATTTTGGCTTATCTGGACACATGCAGCTTTAAATGCTTGAAACGGTTTTATATCATAAAAATATGTCAATGTGAATCATGGTAAAGTATCATTTGGAAAAAAACAAGGAAAAATGTATGAAAATATAGTTTTTGTTTTATATTAACAATAGTGATGTTGATTAATTATTTATGCATTGTAAATAAAATTAAACATCTAGAAAAGTGGTAAAAACTTTTCTGAACTGTTATGACTGTCTTAATATTTATTCCTATTTTTATCATCAAAAATACAACATACTTATGGATTAAATAGATAGAAAGTGGTACAAATTTAAATACATTATATTAACTGTTATCATTGTGTTATGTAACATGAACCATTTATATAGCTTATGTAGAGGCTTACCTGCTAAGGAACATTCCTGTGAAGTTTGGTCAAAATAAACCATACTGTTTAG